GGGTCTTTACAGAACTCCACTTTTAGAGAAGACCTCTAAGATGGCATTATCAACTGTGCTTCCAGCAGCTGATACCGGAGTCCCACTGCTGTACATCTCTGTAGGGGATCAAGTTTTTCTCCTTGGCAGAAACCTGATGTGGCCATTCCCAGGCCCTAACATCACCAAGGAGTACAGAGTATTTAATTATCACCTGGGCCATGCCAGGTTGGTGGTAAAGGATCACCTCTGGGTGACGCATGTACTGGCATGTGATCGGAGTCAGTTCTGGGACTGCCGAGCTGTGCGTAAAGGCTGCCCGTGTCCTTCAGAACCTCCTGAGGGTCACAGACATGCGTGAAACAGAACCACATCACCCAGGACCAGGAGACACTGCTGCTGCTGTCCTCCTGGATGGTGGCAGGATAGGGTCAACTAATGTCACAAGGGAAGCCATTTGTGTGGGAGACAGCTTCACAGAGGGTGCTGTTCTGTGGTGAGAAAATGTGTAGAACTCTCCACAACCAAAAGAATCTTTTACGAGCCATTCCTATAATGCATAAAGAGCAGTGTTTCTTCTGCACAAGCACAACATATATTGTTTTCAGACCCACGCTTTATATAATCTGTTCAAATACACTTTAAAGGCTGAATCCCAAACTTATCCATTTCCCTAGTGTTTTCATGTTCACGTGGTGTTCTTGCCAATTTAAGAGCCGTCCATTATCAGGAAACACATCTGCAGCAGGAGAATGGCACAAACACCATTCAAATGTGAAGTTACATAGTGTCCTCGCCACTGATAAAAGTGTGCATAACAACATATTATGTAAAGTTCTTTCTCAACCACAAAACCAGACACAGTTGTGGACAACTCTATGTACTGTTTTACTTGACGAGTACAAATCATTTCACACACATGTAGCCCATCTCCTTTGCACCTTTAGCACAAAGACTTAATTAACTGTTAACTGTTAATCTTAATCATCCTTTCCTGCCTCAAAATGTGAATAGATTCATTTTTAGTTTCATCTCCTTCTTTCTCTCTGGAAGTGTCCAGAGAGATGGAAGGAGGCTTTGGAAAACAGCTTATCTGTGTCTGCCTCAGGTGTTGGTGGAGGTGATGGTGTGGATGCAGATTGCATCATATACACAGAACCTGTTGTAGTATGAACTGAACTCTTTGATCTGTGAACACAGATGCAGGAAGCATGAATTTGCCCTAAGGAGGTCAGAGTGTGGTGGTATAAGTCAACAACATGACCTTTACTGAGGAGACTGGAGTTTACTCCCTTGTGGGACCATTATTTCAGAAGGTTTTTTTTTTTTTCACGCATTGTATTCTTGACAATGCAGTTTAGCTGTATAGGGACATATTTTTTGGGAGACAGGATTGTGTTAGTAACTTCACTGACATTCTAAAATGTCAACACACCAAATCTGGATAAACACTTTTTGTTAGATGTTTTCAAGGATCATTTCCAAGACTCTTCCCCTACTACCACTTTGAACAAGTCTGTGACTTCACGATAGATGATGCAGATGTGGAAATTGTAGTTAGCTCTGAAGAAAAAAATGCCACTGTATTATGTTTTCATCACTTTTTGTAATCATCAGTCCTCCTGCTCATGCCAAGCTGGATGACAAAATAAACCTCCTCATGTCAAAGCTGACATGTCTTCTGGGTCAGACGCTGCCTTCTTAAGGGTCTTCACGGTCATCCTTAATTCTTACTGTCTTTTATTGGTTGTCAGTATGTATGTATCTAAGTTTCTTTTCAAGTTTTTAATGATATTTTTGGAGCACCTCTGTCTCATTCCTAGGCATCATCACGCACACATTCACCATTTTTAAAAAGGAAACATCCAAAGTCAAAGTCCATTTTTGTTGGCAGTCACCTAGCAACAGTGTTCTCATAGCTTAAGCTTGAATGCCAAGCATGATGTGCACTCCTAATGATAGAAAAACAGCTCACTTGAAGGCAGCATCAATTTGATGTGGAAAGAAATGGTAGCTTTCGAAACCCTGATGTTACCTCAACTCAGCTCTAATCTTAAGTAAGCACTCTATCTGTTCTTCTTGTGTTTTCAGCTCAAAATTCTCAGTTCTTGACCTACTTGGAGGTGGACTGTGGACAGAAACCCTGTGGGTGTAGCCTTGTCAGCAGTGGATCTCACTGCCAGCCGCAGATGTCGCTGGGGAAACAACAGTTATGTAAAAATATTCTACTATTTTCTCTCACACAAAGACAGATGGTTCTCAAAAGTGTATAAAAAGCCCAGAAACCATGAGAACTCCTTACCATATCGTTGTCAATCTCTTGTTTTTTTTTTTTTTTTAATGAGGAACTAAGTGAGCAATCAGTGTGCCTGTGTGCTCACCATTTCTACAATGCCCACTCCCTCTGCCTTTTAATGATGCCTGAGTAAATATAAACAGCACTGTCCAGTTTTATAGTCTTTATCCTTCAACAAAGGCTATTTTGGACTATGGAGAGTGTAAATCTGCTTTTTCCCAAGTCTAATGAAAATCTTACCGTGTAACTTCCTACACAGATGTCTCTTCTATAAATTGAAGCTGAATCCCTACACAGAGATGACCACATTACACTCACAGGCAGATATGATGTATTTTTTGTCTCAAGTCTGATCACTGTTGTTGCTCCAGAAGACACATTTAAAAATGTCTGCAGATCGGTCTCTGCTTAGTGTTTTATCATACTACTACTACTAGCAAAGCAGAAGGAATAAACCATTCCATGAAGACTTTATCACGAAAACCTTATCACAAGCAACCTCTTCAGAGTACAGTTCTTCTTTGTCTTCTGGCACATCTGGAGAAAGGCAGGTCATGCATTAGGTGAAATACATAAAAGGGATTGACAGAAGTTATAATCCACTGACTAATATGTTAGCAATGGCGTTGATTAGGGTTATTTTTTTGTTTGTTTGTTTTGTTTTTTTGTTGTTTTTTTTTTGGGGGGGGGGTGTACGTGGAACAACAATAGAAACTTCTTAGTACACAAACTGCCTGTGCTTCGACTATTCAAACTTTCCAGCACTTCATAATTTCAGAGCTCAGACTTGCAATACTACAAGGCCTCCGTAAATGTGATGTGAGCATACCGTACATGTAACAGCTTAACAAAACATTTGTCAGAGATGTCACTAACCTCCTTCGGGGACCAAAGGCATCTGACCTTGTCCAACTATTTCTAAGAACTGCGCTAGTAACGGATGCGTAGATGCAAGCTTCTGACAGTGTTTGTGTTGGCAGCTGTGCATCTGTTTCCGCTCTGCTTTTCATTCATGGCTGACGTTTCTTCGTGGTGTACTCTTCACATGCAGCTTTACTCTTCTGAAAAGGTCATTTATTCTGAGGGAGGTTTGAAAAAATGTAGGCTAGCCTGTTTTCTTATAGGTATTTTTCTTTAAGGGTTTGAGGGCTCAGCTTTTTGTTGTCAGTGCAGTTTCTCTTTTGTCTGTTTATGCATATAGCCCCAGAAGTATTTTTATTTGGGCAAATATTAAACCCTGGACCCCAACAAATGTTTTGCAAAACACATCTTTCCGGCATTATCGTTTTACTAATATCCAGTTTTTCTCAGATTTGCTCAACATATTTAGGTAAGTTCCCAACATTTTGCCAGGAAGCCAGTGAGGGATTCTTCTGCCCTGATTACGCCACAAGGAACTTTTATTTGTTAGATACTGCTGGTGTAGATGGCTTGGGAGGTGATAGCAGACATGTCACATGCATTGCACCTTCCAGGGGACACTATGGAGACAGTGTTCAGGTAGCCATGTAAAGCATGGTGGCAATTGGGTTTTTCAACATATGGTGAACATTATGATGAAAAATGACCAAACTGCTCATTTTGGGCTGCAAGGTGGCTCGATGGTTAGCACCGTTGCCTCGCAGCAAGAAGGCTCACATCCCAGTGAGGACACCTGGGATCTTTCTGCGTGGAGTTTGCATGTTCTCCCCGTGCAGCATGGGTTCTCTCCGGGTTCTCTGGCTTCCTCCCACAGTCCAAAAACATGTTGAGGTTAATTGGTGATTCTAAATTGTCTGTAGGTGTGAATGTGAGTGTGCTTGGTTGTCTGTCTCTAAGTGTAGCCCTGTGGTAGACTGTTGACCTATCCAGGGTGTCCTCTGCCTTCGCCCTAAGTCAGCTGGGATAGGCTCCAGCCCCCCTAGTGAGGTTTAAGCAGTGTATAGATAATAGTTGGATGGATGGAAATTGCTCATTTTTGGAAAACTGAAATTTGGCTGTCACTATGTTGATCTTTTGAAACTGAAAGTGACCAGAGGTGGACTCGATTGGAAAACCTGAGGAAACTATGTATCGTGATACAGTAGTGACCTGTCATTCACAAGGTAGCCCAGCCCTGAAACATAACCTGCTTGACTGTCTATTCACCTCTAAGTGTGACCACAATTTAGAATATGAAAATCATGCTGTATTGAAGGACAGCGACTGAGACCATCAACTCTTTCGGAAGACGTTTCTGAGGTAACAAATCAAGTGTTAAGTAGGGTCGCAACTAGAGGAGTCGCCCCCTGCTGGGTGATAAAAAACATGCAGGTTTAATGCCATTTAGTGTCGCCAGACCTGGAGTCTGCATCTATCTTTATATACAGTCAGGTATATAGACAGTCTTTGTGACAATAATAACAGGCTGAACTTTAGCATGACAAATGTTTACAATCCTCACCATCTTAGTTAAGTATGCCAACTCTTCAATTCTTGTTAAATAGCACTTACCACAGGTTCAGCTGAGGACTATGGAAACATTACATTAAAATGTTTAGTTGTGGATGAAAGAATTTGACAAATTCACTTCAAATTCAAATTTAACGATGACCAGGATTTTTTCTTTTTTTTTTTGTTATGAAAAAAAAAATGCTGCTATGTGTCTCAAAGCATGCTTTAGTTTTTTATGGCAATCATGACAATTTGTTTTGTTCATGAACATTATAAATGGCATCTAATGAAGAAAAACAAAGTGACAATTGAAAAGTGTTTCTTCTTTTATAACAGTGAACAGACTTTGTGAGGAGTCCTGCCAGCTCCCCATTCAAAGATTCATCGATTCCAATGCTGTATTTTGGAATAACTTAGAAGATATTTACACGTATAAATAAATACATCTTCGGGAATTGTATGCTTATATATTTTTATGTGATCGACTCCAAAACGTACATGCAAAGCCACATCAAATAATGCATACTCAGCACTGTTAAAGCCCTTATTGATTTTTGTATATGATGTTGTTTGTTGACTTTTGACACTCAGGTTATGACATCAGACTGGTCAATCTATGCCATATTAAAACCTTGTCAATGCCACTCAATACTGTGATGGATCTGAAGGACTTTTAATCACGTTGTTGGTTGATTTCATGCACCTCTTAACCAAAATGACGAAAAATTGAAAATGTCACTCCTGACATCCTGATCTTCTCAATAAGGACTTGTAAAATGCTGAATATATAGATAATAATAGTTGTGTGGTTAAATATTAAAAAAAAAAAAAGAGTAAATATAATCACACTTAATGACTGCTACATTTTACTAAAAGTACATATTTAGGATAATTAAACATTGCACACCAAATCCACCATTACATCTGTTTATGTCTCAGTCTTGTATAAGTGGGTGAAAACCAGTGTTTTGTTACAGTGCAAAAGAGTGAATAACAACTTGTGTTGAAAGTATAAAGACTCAACTTGGACAATTGCATGAAAAGAACATATATATTTGGCTTAACTGATTTTGTATACACTTGTCTGATTGTATTGCAAAGATAAATTCCCTTAGTGACTTTAAATTTAATCTTACATTAAAGTGTGTGCTTCATGGCTTGTAATTACTTTTCCCAGCATAAAATAATTCTCAGTAGCAACTGAGGAGCTTGTCAAGTGCTGCAAACTTGCAAGTTCTGTCTCCCATGTTATTCACTGATTAATTAAAATCAGGTCTGGACCTTTGTAGTTACTCAGCATGCATACATACAGCTTTGGTATTATCACATGGGAAAGAGACTGTTCTTTGTTTAAAACCACTGCTCTGTTTACTTGTTATTCCGAGATTCCCTCCTACTTGATATTCCCATCTTAGCAACTTGCAGTTTAGCGGTCACCAAGGAGCTAGACCGCTGAGCCAACTAGCCAGCACTGTTTTTTCAAGGACGGATCTCACAGGATACATTACGAAAAAAAAAGTGGGGTTTGGTGAAAATCCAAATTGTGTATCTATGTGACTGCGAGAGGTTGGAGCAGACAAGAAGAAAAACATATGTAATAATCCTTAGTCATGCACTGATACTAGTGTGGAGTTCACTGATTTAAAATAGAGAGCTGTGTAAGAGTTCATATCCTTTCTGAGAACTGAAAATATCTTTGATTCTTCTTGGGAAAACTACTTAACAACCATCCTTAACATCTGTTTGGATGATACTTAAATGTGCAATGGAAAAAGACAAACACTGGGTTTTGTATTGTTTTTAAATGATTTAACATTTTTGTACATTTAAAGTGAACGTTGAGGTCAATCTAACTGCTTGACAAAACTGCAGAATGTCATGTCTCTGTTTGGCTATTTTGATGTAACCAATAGAAAAAGTTCATATGTATTGAAATCATTTTATATGAAGTCATAGTCATGTTTAGGCATAGGTGGGCTAGAAAGTTGCCTGCGGTGTTGTTGACATGACACAGACCAGAAGCTGTAAAGTAAATGTGAATAAAGTTAATTATTAATATAGCTGTGATGAAATATTAAAAGAATGAGATCAATCCCCTCAGGAGCATCTGGTGTGGACAGAACCAGCACTAATTAAGGCTAATTTATACTTATGTGTCAAAGTGTTGTGTTACTTAAGACTACTTTTGTATTGTAGCTGTGGAACAGACTGAGCTGTGCCCATGATGATGCAGCCCTTTAAACTTGTAATTAACTCTTCGGGTCCTGTCAACACCTACCTGAGATGCTTTGAATTTCTAGACCAGATGGTTTTCTTTCTAGTGAAGACAAACTACAGAAGGGGAAAGAAAATAAATGCATATGGACCTACTTTTTATTGCTATTTTTACTGTGTTGTTTCAAAACAGAATTTTAGGAAGATGGTAGAAAATGCGTAGCAGTCCATTGGGTACACAAATCTGTTTAAAGTTTTGACAAAGCTACTACAACACCTTGACACACAAAAGTGGGATGATCTCAAGAGCATACTTTTTGTATATGTATCCTAAAGTTGAAGAATTGACTTTGCGGTCGAATTGAAAAGAGTTGTAAGTTTTGCATAGAAACCCACTGATGAATGTTTCAATATGGATCATTACTTTGTGTATATCTGAGTGTGTGTTCCTGTTCACCTGCTTTCTGTGTAAGAACGATCAGATTTTGAGGCTATTTTTTAAAAACTGAAATCACTTCTTAAAAAAAGATAGAGAATCATTGTTGGTCTTAATTAAGATTGAAATCCAGGAACGTGTGTGTGTGTGTGTGGTGTGTGTGTGTGTATGTGTGTGTGTTGGGCGGGGAGATGGGGCTATTTCATAGGGCAGATTTTCTGCTTAGCTGAATTTGAAATAGAATTTTCAAATACCCCCCTTCAGAATTTAGATTTGGCAAAATAAAAGTCTTCAAACTGTCTTAGACAATGGTAGTTTATTAGAAATATTTAATTTAAAGCCATCAAATGTTTCCTATTGTTTTCATGTTAACCGACTGCTGTTTGAAAGCTCCCCACCTCCCCGCCCCCCACCCCAGCTCCTCAGACCCCTGCTTAGTTGACCAGGAGCTCCTGGTACTGCTCAGACCGGAGGAAACGCCCGAAGGAGTCTTTCTCCATCAGGGCGTAAATCCTCTTCTGGGCCAGGTCGAAGGTCCCAGAGGAAAGATCCACGAGGTTCCTCAGGGTCACATCCTTGGTGAAGTGGTCAATGTTCACCTGTTGAGAAGTGATGAGATCTGATGTCAGAAGCAGAAGTGAGGATGAAAAAGATGGGGAAGCACTGATGGAAACATGAATAATGCAGAGATGTGCAGAAATGATGAGTGAGTGAATGATGATGAGTCTTCATGAGAAACCCTGGGAAATGAGGAGCAAGATGACATTTTCATCTTGTGATAGTCCCAGTTAAAGCAGGATGTTATTGTAATATTTAATGGGCAACGGCTCTTTTTAAACAGACCTTATGTGTAACTTCAGTATGGAAGGCCTGCTGACTCATGTTCTATCTCCATCCCTCTGTGTGAATATGGGCTTTCCCTGCTGCTCTATTCTTCTCATCAGTTCTGCTTTCCCATGATGTCAGAATCACTTTATTATGAATTTAAGCATTGCTGCTCTCATCCAAGTTCTTCGAACCAATCTGCCACTGAACCCCGTTCTTTTAACTCACTGTGATTCTTTCTTTCTTAATTGCAGACAGTTGAGGGTGCTACCTTCCTCCTCATCTCCACCTGATCTTGGTTGTCCGCTGCATCTCAAACATTTTCGATCATCTATCTGCTGACTTTGCTCCACCACCACCAGTGTATCAACTCTAATGCCTTCATCTTGGCCTTTGCTCTGTGATGTTGCTTCTCACCACAGTCTAACCACCAAAATACTTAGATGTAGCATGCACAAAAAATATGTTTGTTAGGATAAGATAAAACAGCAGTGACTTGTCAGAAAGTGCAAAAGTAAATTCTCAACTGTAATAGATCTAGCTCTTAAGAAGTAAAAGCAGTATTACTAAAATGGACACATGTCAAGTTGGAAGCGAGCTGGGAGTTGTGCTCTAGGTGTTGGGGTTGGGGGTGGTATTTTGTTCTCTGATTATCAAGTCGAGTAGCGCGATGACAGAGATGAGGGTGGGAGGGTGGGAGGGTGAGAGAGCCAAAGTATACCACTAAACAGGATGGCCCTGTAGTGAGTTTGAGCTTATTCGTGCATAAACTGTGATATCAAGTAGTTTTTTGTTTTCTTTTTCTTCTTTTTTACTGTTATGACCCTGTCACTGTACTATTGTAGGCTACAAGGTAGCTCATTCAAAATCATCCATGTATCCATTATCTATACACCTTAATCCTCACCAGGGTCATGGGGGGCTGGAGTCTATCCCAGCTGATTTAGGTCGAAGGCAGGGGACACCCTGGACAGGTCACCAGTCTATCACAGGGCTACACTTAGAGACAGACAACCAAGCACACTCACATTCACACCTACGGACAATTTAGAATCACCAATTAACCTCAACATGTTTTTGGACCGTGTGGGAGGAAGCTGGAGAACCTGGAGAGAACCCACGCTCCACAGGGAGAACATGCAAACTCCACGCAGAAAGATCCCGGGTGTCCTCACCCGGACGCAAACCGGCGACCTTCTTGCTGCGAGGCAACAGTGCTACCAACTCTGCCACCTTGCAGCCTCATTCAAAACCATTTATTTTTATAAAAAATAGTAGAAAAAATGCTTCAGTTTTCTACACTAACTAAATTTACTTCTGCAACAGTTAAATTTAAAGAACAATTTCCCCTCTGGAATAAAGTTAAAGTAAAGCTTCTACCAAGGATGGAAGTACTGTAGTGAATGTGCTGTTCAGGTGTGTGTGTTTGTTCAAGAGACACCTAGTTTGTTTCCAACATTTTTTTCATTCTATTTTTGTGAGTACATGGTCAGCTGTCCAGTAACCATATAAAGTACACTGTTCAAATTTGATTGTACATCCCTTTTTTGAGTGAATGTGAATTTAGCATTTAGAACTCTGCAGAAATTGAACTGATTTGATCCAAGCTTAAAAAAAAGCCACATCCCATGCGTGTATAGTCTGTTTTGTAACTGCAGCAGTGCAGAATTGACCACACTGAATTTATTTTCTAAAAATGAGTGGTCTGAGTTCGTCTTTGTACCATATTTTTTTAAGTGTGAGACTGCAGCCAATTAATGGGCAAACCAGTTTCAATGACTATGATTTTATATAGAAGTTAAAGTTCAAATTTGGAATATTGGTGCACACAGGGTGAAGCCAATTACAAACTTGAAGATGAATTATTTATATTTTCTGCTGAGGTGATTTATAAAAAGGGGGAGGTCATAGTGGCTCCTGACCTCTCTGGGTCCCTCAGACTGGATGAAGTTTTCATAGATCTTCTTGGCCTTGGCAGACATCTTCACGGGGTTCTTGGTCTTCTTGAAATCCTCACAGGCCATCCAGAACTCGATGTTCTCATCACTGAACTCAGACTGCAGGAAGCTACGGAAAGCAGCCAGACCATCTGGTGGAGAAAGACAGAAATGAATGAATCTAATGTATCTAAACCCCTTTTCTAGTTAATTGTGAGTCTCAATGACAGTCTAGGTAAAATAGAAATGAATTTAAGTGTAACAAAGATGTGAGCGTAATGTTCCACTCATTGAAAGGCCACAGCAGGACCAGGTAAAAATGAAAACATTTATTGTGTGTCTTATTCTGTCCTTCTATCAACAAATTTAAAGTTGAATTAAAAGATGTATTGTAGATGTGTCTGCTCTTAAGTTCTTGAAATGTCATATCACTACATATAACTGTTGAGAAAGAGAAATAAAATTACTCTTCAAAATTGTAACAAAAGCAGAATTAAACCTGAATCTATTTAAACAGCTCTGATTACTTAGAAAATGTTTAACACAGCATGAGAGCAAAAAAATTCGCTAATGTTTAATTTTTTATGTTATTTTTTATCTTTGCTTCGACTGCATAAATTTGGCACCATGATTCTACGATATGTTCAACATAAAGATTTAAGATTTAGCAACAAAAAGGAGACATTGTTCTTCATAAAGACTTCAATTACAAAATACATTTTAAACTCACTGCAGCCAGTGAGAAAGTTGACACTTTGTTTTTTCCAAAATGTGTTTTCCAGCCATGACACTACTGTCTCTCATATACCAGATGCCAAATATCACTTGTGACTTTTTCCATAATAATCCTGTCATGTTTAAACAAAGCCATAATGGAATATTTACAACTTGGCTCAAAATGACATTATTTGATGTGTCAAACTGGCAATGTTACACATTCCATGCCTGAAAAGGGCTTTACATGATTTGCAGGAGTGAAGTAGTGGAAAATAAGACAACTGGCTGGCAGATTTAACATAATTAAGCTGTGACAACAGAACACAGGATTGCTATTGTTAGTAATAAAAGAGGAAGAAATAAAGAAACATGTATTTGTATTTAATTTCATTGCACAGTTTTTTGAAAACTTTCTAGAGGAGCCCAAAAAGGAGATTGGGCATTTTAGAATTATAAAGGGAATAAAACTGTCCAAATTTTTATTTAAAACTCCTTCAAAAAAAGTGATTATAGAAATAAAAACACTTTTTCAACTAAACTTCTATTGACAAATATTTTTCAGAAATGTCAAAAAAGAAACAAATGTTTTATTTGGTCAAATATAAAAGCATAGTGGTTATGATGAACCAGGCTTGATAAAACATCAGCTTATTCCAGTGAAGACTATTGTAATTTAACACAATGCCTGAGAAAGGTCCCATTGTCTGACCGAGCATGTGCTGCAGATGATAAGCGTTCTGTTATGGCCTCAGGCTTTTATCTTCCATCTAAATGGTTAGTTTGGTTCAAAATAGCACTGAGTTGCAATCAAGCAGCAACTTTTTTTTTTGTTGTTGAAAGACCTTCAGAACAAGGACACACAAAAAGAGAAGCACACACGCACAGCCACTGATGACAAGCTGTTCGTGTATCAGAGCTTTTTAATTATATAACATTTTACGACAGCGCTAGTCAAACTCTGTTAGATTTTCCTCTATTTAGTTTCAGTACGTTTGAATAAACTTCTGCTTCTGTTAATAGGTTAAATAATCTGCACAATTTCTCCAAAAATGAAACCCTGAAAAATGAATGTAATTAAAACCTGCTCAAACGTTTGCGTGAAAGCTTGCTGGGGTGCACTCTTTTCATCTCCGAGCAAACATACATTATGTGTTTCCTGTTGCGTAATATACATTGCATTATGCAACTTTTAACTTTAAAGCAAAGGCGGGCGTCGCTTCATGTACGAGGAAATAACTCACAGAGACTCTCATGGGAATTAAGAAGGGAAATGCTGTAAAGAATAATGTTAATGTTAAATCTCATGCAGATAAATAATCACAGCACAGCAGTTAGCAGCAGTCGTGCAATAAATCAGCACTGGTGGAATCATTTAGACTTCCCCCTGGAGAAGTTATCATAACACACATCACCTTCATGGGCTGGTACACACACAGATCCATATGCATGTTCATCCAAGCATGCAAACACTGGAGAATTATACATCCCTCTGCCCTGCTCTGCGCTGAAGGAGTCACTTAATAAGGCCTTTTGCCACCCACTGAGCTCTGTTTCTCTGTTCCCATATCAGATGGTCAGTAACATCTGTACTTGGGTCTGTTTTGATGCACAGGGGTAACTTAAGTGACTTTTCAGCAGGAGAGTTTACACGTACCTCTAAATATCATTAACTATTAGAGGTAATCATCGGTCTTGTTGTGTGGCTCTCAGGCTGTCTGTGCACTTTGTGGGGTAAACAGTGGAGCCTGAGGTCGGTTTCTGGTATGTATGGTGATTGTAAATGTGTTTTCCCCTATTAAGAGATGCTTACATATTTGTCAGTCTACACGTAAACCATCTGAAAATAACACCATCACAAGCAAGTGTTATCTTTATGCAAGAATTTGAGTTTAGCAAAATAATTATTTTTAGAATTAGGATTGTGGATTACTTCACTACGTGTTAGAATGAATGTTCACACTGCAACTATCTGCACTGGTCTGTTGTAGATTATGAGTTTATTTGGACTTCCTGGATTTTTTCACATGAATTTTTATGGATGTATAGATATCTTGTTTTAATGCTTGAGCTGGTTTTGCTGTCTTGTAAGCAGGATGGGAACACGATATGTATACGCATGAGACAGTAATGAAAACATATAATCATTATCTCTATCATCCAGTTAATGGTCACACAGTTAAGGAAACCAAACCCTGCTAGGTGTGCAGTCTTTGAACAGTCTATTAGAGAGATACTGTACCCAGGGAGGGCACGTTTTCCCCTTCAGCACTGGTTAAAGTTAAACCAAAGTGCCAGCTGTTACATAGTGAAGACCACAGCTTTGGATGGCAAAGAATAATGATGCTCTCTGGGTTTGGTTGTGGGGACAACAAAGCAAATACACCGCATAAGTGCATACAGTTCCTTAACTTGTGAAAGGTGTTTGGGATTTCAGCAAGAAACATTGTTTGTGTACATTACTGGCACTGCTAAATGAAAGGATCTGAAAGGTACATGCTAAAGGCCAAAAATTCAACAAGCAGCATCACGTGATTCAGTTTTTTAAGGAAAAAGTAAGTAAAGCTAAAAAAAATAGCCCTTCATTAAACTGAGGAGCAGGTGTAGCAGCTCAGAGGATTTTACAGGGATATGACAGTAATTGAGGAACAATGTATCAGAAAATAATAAAAAAAAGTGAAGTCATCTTTTTAATCATCTCATAAGTATCCAGATAATTAATGTAAGTTCATGCAATGTCCCTTAAGTAAGTGACAGAAGTAAGTGTGTGTGAGTTGGTATGTGTGAGTGTGTGAGAGGAAAGAGAGAAGTGAGAGAAACAAGACCTACAGTTGTTGTTCAGGACTCGGTCCAGACTCTCACGCCACTGAGCAGCCTCGTCAGCAGTCGGCCTGCGCAGAAAATCCTCCGTTTAGTCAGGAAACTTCAGCAACACTGGTTTAACACATCCTGAGAACTAACAAATCTTTCTTTATGGAGAGCTTTACTTATATTGTGATAAAATACCTTGAATTTAGACCAAAGAGTTGAATCTGTGGTTACCTATAGCTGCTGTTTGAAGCTAATTATTTAACTGATATAAAATGTAGTGATTTAAATAAGATGTTGAAACAGAACTTCTTGGTGAAAATACAATAAAATATAAAATGGGATTCAAAGGAATGAGCTGATAATAGCGATTTTCTAAGAGATCCCTTTCATGCATTCAGCTTTCTTGATTTTAACTTTAAATGAGCACATTTTTTTTTCATTCTTAACTAACACGTGAACCTTTGATGCACTATTGCCAAAAAGCTTTCAAAAGTACACTATAAATATAATGTTGATTTGATATATGTTTTAGTCTCATAAAGCCAAACCTAAACCTTTCATCTCAGTTTCTGCTAAAAGATTTGGGTCTGGAAAACATTTCCTGAGGATCGATTGCATCATACGTACAGTATGTGTTGGACCAATACAGGGAGCAGTTAGACACAAAACTTGTAATGAGTTCAAAGAGGGGTTACAGATATTTAAAATCAAGCTTTTTTGTGTCACATTTAGAGGAAAATTTCCAGCTGGTAAGACCAATGACAGGCCAGTGAGAGGTGGGTTCAGGTGTCTTTGCAAATAAATAGCATTCATTAAAAAAAAGCTCATACTCTGGGTCCAAAAGTGTTGGGATGAAGTGTGTTAGGTTTCCATAGGGATGTGCAAAATCAGAACTAAAATCAAGTCCAGCAGATTATTAGGATGTAATACTGGTAGCAAACACCTTTGCAAAAGGACGACATTACAAAGTTGTTGTGTTTCATGTAAACTAAATGAATTGCAGTGTCAGAAGGGCTTCTGTTGTTTCAAGAAAAATAAAAAAGCTAATGAATGTCTCCACTAAAGCCTCACCAACCCCTCTAAAAGCTGCATTGGTACATTTTTTAAGTAACAATTATCCTGCTTTTATCAAACTAAATCACAGAATGTCTTTATTTCTGCAGCTCAAGGACTTGCTTGTTTCAATCACATACTCTTTTGAAAAAATAAATTTCATAACGTTAAAAACAAAAACTAAAGAGGACAGAATTGCGCACTTTCTCCTTCAATACAGCAGTATTAGTGAATGGCAGCTAAAAACAAAAGTAAAGCTCAGCGTCTCATGCATAATTTATCTGTGAATCACTCTTTTCAAGGTGATATATTGTAAAAGTGAAGCAACTAAGGTGTTGTATGTCTGAGCCCACTCAGAGTCTGGAGAGGTTTAATGTCCTTTGATCTGCACATCTTCCACCTGCTCCAGGCTCTGTGTTCCCATATTACCATCGGTTATCTGGTTAGGCAAACAAGCCCACCTCGGGGACACTTGGCTCTGAGAAAAATACTCACTTCTGCAGCTTCTCCGGCTTCTTCTCAGTCTTCTCGGGGTAGGGGATGATGAGGTCGATGGCATTTTCTGGCTTCTGCAGTAAAACTCCCAATTTGGACTTGATTTCCTTGGCCCTGGGTGACAGAAAGCAGTACATGTCAAGTTATTCTTTTAACCTCAAAGATAATATTAATGAACATTGTACATTGTTTTTGTACAAACCAACAACAATAAAATAATAAACATGTCAGCTGTCTGATTTAATACATTTTTTACATGCGGTTTTACATAAAATGACAATTAAAGGGCATTAAATTAGCAGTTAAACTTTTACTTTGACTCTCCCTTCTAAAATTTTCATAATCAGTGTAACATGATTAATTCTGCTGCTCTTTACATTATTCAGGATCTAACAATATTACATTCACTGTTTTGTAGCACTGCTGTTTTGAATTTTATTAGCATCATATTAAATGTTTCTGATTTTTTTTCTTCTCTGACTCTGTAGATGTAGAAACCTGGCTGACCTCCCCTCAGGCTCCAGTGCCGAAGCAATTCTATAAAGCGCCTCGACTCTGTAGACTAAACTGCATAAACTGTTTGCCAAAAAATAAAAAATAAATCCAGGGTAGCATTAAATGTACCACAACACAAATGAAATATTATTCTTGAAGTCAAATAGGCTGTTCGAAATGGGAACTGCCATGAAAATGGCTTAAACTCAAAAGGTAAAAAGTTCACAAAGAATAACTTTTGAGATTTTTTTTTGTCTTTTTTTTTAATGCAGGAAAGTATGATAGCAAAATCAAGTTCCAATTTGTTTTCTAATCTTTTTTTGACACATTATTGCCAGGATCACTCTTAAGAGGTTGGGATTCAGTCAAACATTCTGGGAGCCAAACACCATCAGAGCAGCACACTGTTAAGATGTGACCGTAAAGGGTAATGAAATGATGAGGTCTCACCTTTCAAGGCAGGTTTGGGGTAAGGCAGCTAATCCTTTACACATTTTCCAGCGTTTTCAGTTGCAGTATTCAAAACTTAGTTCAGCGTCCCTGGTGTTAGCCTTCTGTGAGTCTCAGAGTCCCTTTTGCTTTCTGACTGTGGCTTTGAGCACAAGGGAAGTTTTATACAGACGCCCTTTGGGCTCTGGGCCAGCAGCTAAGCCAATCAGACTGGAATGTGTAGAACACGGGCAGCTGAGAAGCCTGGTGGAGGAAGGGTGTGTTCAGAGGTGAATGGCTGTTTGCTTTGAGGTTTCAATTAAGAAGCAGATGCAGGACTATTGAGTTTTCTCCCATATTAGATCTAACGGTTATTTAATAAAGCAGATTTGATGCTATGGTGCTATAATCACACCCTCTTCCACATCCTGTAGGTACGTTTATAATATTTTCATTACTATTATTTGTAAGTAATAATGGATTTTGCATTCATTGGTCAATTTGATTTAATATCTATTTTTCCTTGTCTTCAGTGTCCCATGTGTTTTCATGTTCTGCTCTTTCTTTCTCCCACAGTGGCTCAAAATCTAGAAAAACAACATAAAATCATGAAATAAAATCATCATGCCATGGTGATGGCGGTACGCATAGACACAGCGGCCCCTTCAGGAGACAACGAAAGTGAACGTTGGGAGTGTGTTGCCTATCTCAGACATTCACTCCACAAATCTTGTGGCCAGGAGACTTTGCTGGGCGTCAGGACAGTGAATGATGCTGAAATTGCGGCACTCAGTTGTGATTTGGACATACTGCGCTGACGCAGAGTCTGGCAGTTACTCGAGAGAAGGAAGTGCAAATGGCACGAACATTAACAAAAGAGGGGGAAGAGAGCTGGGATCCATGCAAGGCTAAAGGCTAACCCCTCCAGACCAGCAGGACCGTCCTCCTGCTCTCCAGTGTCCACTCCCTTCACAACAAGCTGGATTTTCGAGCTACGTTCGCTGAGAGAAACCCGCAGAGAGTGGAGGGTCTGCCGTGTGTTTGCTTTAACAGGAACATGGCTCCATGACAACATCCCAGACGGACATACAGCTGGAGGAGATGACATTATTCCAGGCGGACAGACAGGCAGCTAGCTCTGGGCAGCATCTTCACCATCGTCACACCGTCATGTGTGTCTTTGTGTCCCTGAAGACCTACCAGGACCTGAAGAGGTTGGCCATGTTCAACGTGATGGCGGCGCACATGGACACAGCGGCCCCTTCAGGAGACAGCGAGAGTGAACGTTTAGTGTCTTGCCTATCTCAGACATTCATTCTACAAAAAACTTAAATGATCCTGAAGAAATGGTTTCTCATCTTGCCTGTACTACTGTGTATGTACAGCAAAATGACAATAAACCTGATTTGTTTTGATTTGATAAAAATTGCACCTAACACAGACACAGCTGAAAATACGCTCAAGTTCCAATGTTACTGAGAGAAGAGTTGGTTCCTGGCTTTTTAGCCAACTTTAAATGTGTAAACTCCTAAAAGCTGCTGTTATTTGGTTTAGCTCTCCCATGCACACATCCAGTCATTTCGCCCTGGAGAAACAAACAGGTTGATTCAACAAACCAAACAGTTACTCTGACAACTAAGCATTTTGCGTTTTGGTTACGTTTAGACAATAAAACATGTTAGAAACAAGTTTTAAAAATGGGCTTGCTTTGATTTGATATTTGAATATTGTGATGTAACAACTTTTAAAATACTATACAAAAAACTATTCTTCTGCAAAACTGTTAAACTAAACAAGACAGAAATGTTGAGTCTTGTCTTGTCGCAGTAGCTGATCAAGAAGTTCGGTCAGATTGAACAACCTTAAACTGACAAAAACTTTTAAATCAGAAATTTAAATGTCTGACTTAAATCTGCCGTCTAAATCAGAAACTCTCCGGATAATTAATGTTACCAGCCCTTGAGTCTCGCTTTCATCATCTGACTGCTTTCATATTCAGTTCTCGGCTCTAGTCTGTATCAAGAAATAATTTTAAAATATTATTGAAAATATGTTATCAGTTAGCTGCAGGGTGGCGCAGTTGGTAGCACGGTTGCCTCGCAGCAAGAAGGTTGCCGGTTCGCGTCCCGGTGGGGGCACCGGAATCTTTCTGCGTAGAATTTGCATGTTCTCCCCGTGCAGCGTGGGTTCTCTCCGCGTTCTCCGGCTTCCTCCCACACAGTCCGAAAACATGTTGAGGTTAATTGGTGATTCTAAATTGTCCGTAGGTGTGAATGTGAGTGTGCTTGGTTGTCTGTCTCTAAGTGTAGCCCTGTGATAGACTGGTGACCTGTCCAGGGTGTCCCCTGTCTTCGCCCTAAGTCAGCTGGGATAGGCTCCAGCCCCCCCGGGAACCTAGTGAGGATTAAGCAGTGTATAGAAAATGGATGGATGTTATCAGTTAACACATTAGAGATACATTCAGTATCTTATACAGAAATCCTAAACTGGTCATGAATATGTTTCCTTCTAAACCATTTAGCTGTTGTAGTTTTGCAAAGCTGTATGTAAATGTAATCTCCAGATTACAGCTTGTACAAGCAGACAGAGACATCTTTCACTAGTCTTGCACTTTTAGTTAGCTCACATAACATTCAGCGTTAAATCAGAGTCAGTCTGAAAGTGAGAATCCATAATCATACTTTAACCATGCTACACTGAACCTTCCAGTCTGGCCTTCTACCCCAGCGGTTTGCAGCGGTTTATATTGTCATGCTACGCCCACCTTCAAGGGTGCTTGTTATTTATACAACTTCAAGGTAGCTCTTAAATTTTCAATATCCCTCTGACAGAACTGATTTATTCCTTTTGGTAGCTTCATGGCCAAATTCTCTCTTGTGCACCTCTGTTTTGTTTCACAACGGCATCTCTGTGTCTGTTAAATTCTGCCGACTGGAGTGTTTCTAACCTTGATGTTTTTATTGTGTGTTTTGGAAGAAATGCATGAATGCAATCCAGCATTCACTTTGTTTCATAAGGTGGATTTTCAGGGAGACACTTGTTATAATTAAGCCTTGTATTAAGTGAACTGTCAAGGTCCTAAAGAATCCCAACAGTTGATGACTAAAACATCAAATGCAATTGCAAGTTTTCCACTGACAAGGTAAAAAGTTGTTCACATTTCTTTTACATCAGAAAATCAAAGCCATTTATTTATTATTTCAGGACCTAAAGAAACTCAGCCTTTAGAGACACAAGTGTATTTAATTCAGTAAGAAATTCAGTTTATTATTTATTCACAGCACTCTTCCGAAAAGAGGAATCACAGGAGAGGACACGCTGTGTGATTGATCTGCTATAAATGATCCTGCTGAAAACGAGTCTCACAAAGCATCCAAAAGACAAAGAGTGAGTAACTTTATATTTTGAGCAGGATGTCTTCTCATTTATTTAATCAATTATACTCACACAAGGCAACAAACTTACAGGTAAACTTTCTTTGATGTAGTTCACTACATGTCTATGATACATTTAAAATCAGTACTGACTTTCATCATCCAAAAACTGCTGTGTTTAATGTGGATCATGCTTTAGTTTTACTGATGCCAAAGCACGCGGGCTCAGTGTGTACATGACTGGTGTTTGCTGACAATTAATCAAGCAAAACAAGCAGAGTAGAGTGTTATTATAATTATTGCTACTCAGCTTTTGTGGACTGTTTGACAGAACAATGGGTATGTTTTTTTTTTTTTTTTTTTTTAGAACAAAGTCATAACAAAGATATAAGCTACGAATTGCAACATTTCTCAAAGTTTCTATGCTGATTAGCATTTTAATCTGCAGCAGAAGGTATTAGGAAGCAATTTGAAAGCATTTAATTTTACTGCGCTATGTATGAGAACATCATTGCGTCAGTTTTGTGAAGCTCAACCTCATTAATCTTTTGTATATGCAATCAATATAATGCTTTCAAAGTAGAACAAAAGACTGTTTTGGATGAGAGTCACTGATGCGTCAGTGATCTGTAATTCTGTACCACTGAGCACATGTAATTTAATACATATGCATTACCCTGCTTCAGTGAGGAGAAGGAAAGTTCAGTGCGACAACCATTTTTTCCCCCACAAAGTTCAAGACTTCACTATTTATGCTGACTTTTATTACATGTCTTCTTATTTGTACTTTTTTATTTACTTAGTTATCTGATTTATAAGAAGCACAGAACATTGAAAGTAAACAGTCTTCAAATTCTGCTATGGTGATGAACCCCCTGAGATAAGAATCCAAATATATGAGGCAGATCAGATTCACACAGTTTAACACTACTAACAAAAAAATAAACAGCCGTTGGTCCAAAGAATGTTCAGATTACCGGAATAAAGCTGTGAGCTGCTAAGATAAACCTGAGGTAAACTCTGGGCCATGACTTACAGCCTTCAGCTTTTAAAAAGGACCAGCAATGGGGCGCTGCTGTAGCTCACCTGGCTGAGCTGGCGTCCCATAAATAGGGGCGACAGTCCCCGATGCGGAGGTCATGAGTTTGAATTCCGCTCATGGCCCTTTTCCACAGGTCCTTCCCCCATTCTTCTCCCCCACTTTCCTCTCTCTCTCTCGCACTGCACTATCAAACAAAGGCAAATAACTTCAAAAAAAAAAGGGGGGACCAGCAGTGCATTCAGAAAGCACAGATTTCAGCGCTGTCCACACTGCAGCCAGACAGCAGAGGCCTGTTTGCTACAGAACTGCAGCACTTACATTGACTTATCAAAATTGATCAGACTGTCGTGGTATCAGCGTTTTTATGACAACAGCAAAGTCTAGCACATTGCTATTCGCTTTCATTGTCTTGTTTTATTTGTTTTTTGACTGAGCGCATGAAGTGTTCCCTACAGCTATGCTAGGGAAAAAAGGAGCAGACTAACTCTGTGGGATTACTGGCTACATGCTGAGTTTATCAGCTTGTTCTGACATGAAAAATCATTAATTCTGAAAACAAATGCACGATCTGAGAAAGTCCATTTTCCCTTACGTTTTAAAATAGCTTTTGGTGCACTGAAGAACAACAAATACAATTTCATGGCTCTGTGCATTCCTTTTTAGACTGATAGATTTGCAGGCAGCAGAATGCACACTGAAGTGACTTTGTAGCATAAAAAAAAAAAATGTTGAGAAGAAATGTTTATTTGTGAAGCTT